ACACATCTTAATTCTCTTAACAATGAATAACTTGACTAAATCAAAATAAAAGTAATGACTAAAAAGATGTGATTGAATGCTAAGAAGTATAGAAAAATCACTTAATGTAAGCTTAAGCAAATATGGGCACTTATTTGAAATTTTAGTCAAACTTAAACAATATTGTATTAGCTTAAATCAATACGACGCAATGGTAACTATATTTGTACCTAATAATTTGCTTAAGTTAGGTATTAATCACGTAAAGTAAAAAGTATTTATTTAAGCTAAATTTATACCGTGATTACCATACATATTTTATCAATTTTTGGTTAAGTTATTCTTTTTCACTTAAGCTAAAAATGCAGAAAACCTTAATCAAATAACATACTTTAGAGGATTGTTAAAAAGACATTAAATAAACCATCTTGCTTAGAAATATTCATTTATTTGTTTAGTTTTTATAATTTATATTTTCCAGCCGCATCAGTGGTTGATATTTTCCCGTTGTCAATCACTGAACGAAAACACATAAACCATCATATATATTGAACTTAGAGAAAGTTATCGAAGCCGTCTTAGCTCAGCCGGTAGAGCGCATGGCTTTTAACCATGTGGTCGTGAGTTCGATTCCTACAGACGGCGCGTGTTTTATTTTTCAAGTACTTATTTATTAAAGCTTATAGGTTCCTGAGTGCGAAGGATGCTATTACATTATATGCAGTTATTTTATTCTTTGTTTTCGCCTTTATTATATATCATCAAAGTGGGATAAGTGTGTGTGTTTTAATATATAATGACAAAAAAATCATGTTATGATTTAACTAATTTAAAAAATGATTTTTTTTATAAAAACTCAAAATTATAGAAGAAAGCTAAAATTCAGAGAAAATATTAAATTTTAACATAAAATTTCAAAGTAATTAAATAATTAGAGATTTTAAATTATAAAGGTTAATTCTCCAAAACAATGAAATTATGTAGTTAGAAAAATAAATATATATAATAGCAGATTTTTTTATTAAAGATGGGTAAAAGGTATTTTGGCTTGGAGGCGAACGGGGAGAAAAAAAGTCAAGAGTATTCCTTCAAAATCTCTTCAAGTAAATTTCCTATTCGAAGGCCACGGGCAAGAATTTTCATAAACTTTACACCGTCATAATGGCTTGGATTGGTACTTAAAAATTCTTGTGCATGAACCTAAGGCACGAAAAATCAGCCCTAAAAAACAATATAAACGAAGCTCTCAATTTTATGATTAAGTAAAATTAGAAAAATGGGTTTCTTGGTCAGCCTCACTTGGGGATCTAGCTAGTGATAAGAAAGAAAATGTTAATCCTGTTGAAGGAGGAAGCGGTGCAATTAAGAAAGTGGAGGGGACAAAGGCAAAGAGAATAACCTAATAGCCGCAAAGATTGACGTTGGGGATTATGATTCAGCCGAAAGCATATCACATAGCATTCATTTTCAGCCATTAACTCATTCCCCACAAAATAGGGCATGTTTATTCATTATTGCATTTCTTAAGTCGCATGTCGCCTAGTGCCCTCTTATCCCACGCTTGCATATTCCATGCTTCAATCTTCAAACTCTCCCAATTCCTCAACTCCGTAGGAAGCTTCAATTGCCACTATCAATATCCCTCCGTCAATATTCACTTGTACTTATCTTTGATTACTCAAATCAATTAAAGGGTCTAAACTAGGACTCTATATGGAAAAGTTCTTCTAGTTAAGTTAAAATTATATACTGAATTGAATATTATTAATGGAGTGTTTAGTTTAGCTTAAATCACTCTAGAGGCTTATTAATTTATTTTTCTAAAACAAACCTTTCAAAAGTTGAGAGAGAAACGATTATTTATTCAAACAATCTAAACTAAATATGCATTAACTAATTATCATTTGCTCCTTTTTCTCATTCTTCTTGCACTAGTTTGATAAAAGGGTTTAGTATATGAATATCGAGTGAGAGTAATTAAGAAAGAAAACAAAGGCAAGTAGCAACAAGTAAATCAAACTCTTGTGTTGAGTGATCCTTTTACTTAGGAGGTATAGTTAGTATGTACTAAGTAAGTCATGGTTAACAATATTAACGATATAATAAACGATGTCTACTAGAGTCAATTAATGACATAATTACACGTGACATTATACTACTTAATCACCACATAAACTAATTCATTCCCTTATAGCCTCTATAAATTAGGGCGAGAGAAACTTTCACTCTCAATTTAAATACAAGTGTAAGGAATAGAAAAAGAAAATAAAAAAAATATGTAAGTATATTTTTTCTTTGGAAGGTACATATGTAAAATTCATTTTATAGGTTGCATTATTTTCCTATGCAAAGTGTCGATCAAGTTGAAAGTGTTTGCAAGTATGGGGAATTTGACCAATATCAAACGGATTTGCATATATATATATATATATATATAGAGAGAGAGAGAGAGAGAGGTTGTCATAGTTTAGCATGATAAATTTTAATTAGATGGGTGTCTCTGAATTATAAAATGTACATCTTTTAATATGGATCATTTATTTATAATTAATAGTGTAAAACTTTTCATCATTAAATTTCTTGATTTTTTATTTAAAATTTTTTTACCTTAGAAAAATATTCTCGTTTTTATTAACAAAGCAAGGATAAATATAATTAAATGGAGTTCAAAATATACTCTAATTTATTATACAAGTCAAATAAATATCAAAATATACAACAACCCTTTAAGCAATAAAAACGATTGAAAATGATATGTCACTTTATTAGTTAAAAACATTTTACATTAACAGTTATAAGGTACCTAGGAAACTAATAAATAAATATATAGTGGAGAGGTTATGCTTTATTTGCGCAAAGAATTTTATCATAACTATCTTCAAAAAAATTATCAAATGACCAAATACAATTTAATAAATGTAAAGCATAATTCTAAGTCTGCACTTTTTCAAAATTAAAAATTAAAAATTAAATAGTCGATATAATCATGCTCGTATAAAAACAACCTCTCCTTAAAATGGTTTTGTTGATATATTTAACATTATTTCAAACTCATGAGAATTTGAATACACTATTTGTCGTGTATATTTCTGCTTTCAAATTTTAAGTAATAAATAACTCATTTATATTATAAGAGTATCTGGTGTGTAGACTCAAAGGAATGAAATATTCTCATTTATTTTTGGTTAAAGATAAATAAATTTATCATTAAATATTTATAATAATAAATAAATATATAAATAATTACATAAACTATTCTTTCATAAGTTATAATTGATGTATATATACTTTAACTTTTTTTAGTTATTTTTAACATTTTTAAAAGTTAAACTGCATAATTTGATTTTTACTTATAATAAAATTTTATTTTGATTTATTTTCCTCCTTACTCTTTCTTCTATGAATGCTCATAAAAAAGTTTACAAAAATTAATTATTTCTCAGTTATTCTAATATTTTTAGTAAAATAAAAACTAAACCACTTTTATTAAATATATACGGTGGTATGTTTTTCTTTTTTAAAAAAAACATAACAATCAATATTTTATTTTCTTTCCAGTTCTAACATTTATTTTTTTTCTCTTTATTTTATTTTTGTAAGGAATTATTAATTAAAAGAGTTTTAGCAGTTCTTACTATAAGGCACATTATAACTTTTTTTTATTTGTTTTTAATAATGAGAGTTAATAAGAACTTAAATTAAAATTAACAAAAATATATATTGAGAGTGAGATTAGGTTCAATAATATTAAATGGTTGTAAAATTATCATGTTATAATTTTTTAAAATAAAAATAACTAATTTTATTAATTTGTATAATTTAATTCAAAATATATCATAAAAATATCAAATACTATATATCTATCTATTGATTCAGCTGGTACCGATTAAAAATTTACCAACACATGTTATTTTATTATATAGAATAAAAAATATCAATAAAATATTAAGTACTAATTAATAATATAAAAGGTCAATTAAATTGTGTTGCAGTTTAGCTTAATTTAAATCTGAAGAAATGAGATAAGAAAGAGGGTTAAGATCTAGGATATTCATGCTGAAAACTTAAATGATTAGATCAAGGCATGTTATGTAGACCTTCTGTCTTTGGCTTTTAGATTAGTCACGTGTACATTCGTTTCTTTAGCCCTTTTACATAGAAAGTATGGATAAACCTTCTTTAAAATGAGTTTATTAATAAGGAAAAATATTAATTTAACTTAGAATATATAATAATATTAATTGATAAAAATTTAAGGACAAATGTGTTTTTATTTTTATTTTATAAAAAATTATTTTAAATGAGTTTTTTTAAAGGTCTAAATAAATGAGTTTATTTGGTTTAAATAACTGGTCCCATCTTAGGTGTTATTTTAACATCAACAAGTTATTTTATTGATTTTCTGACAATGACGATGCATAAGATTGCGTTAGGCCAGTTTGACCAAATACAAACTAGCATTTGAAATGAGTTTTTCTTCCTGCACGAAAATATTCATTTGAATTCATTAAGATTATTTGAAAATACTTTCAAATTTTTAAGTACGTTCTGATTTTGATGTATCCTGTATATTAAATTTATTTAAAGTTTTTGAAATAAAATAATTTTATAAAAAATTATAAAACATTATTATAATACATATTTGATATATGTAATTAGAAAAATTTTAGCAATATAATTTTTCTAATACATTCTAAAATTTATTAAAATTAAATAAATATTATTTATATATAAGACATAATTTTCTCACACTATTATAATTTTAAAAAATCATATAAACTTTTTATTTAACTTATATCTAATAAATTATAATTTATTACTTTACTAATTATTAAATATAAATTAAATAAAAAATTCAAATTAAATATAAAATTTTTTAAATTTACACTCGCTTATATATATAAAATAAAAACGTAATGAATTCCAGTCACTTAAACACATCACATCGATACAGTTTCACCACCTCTTTACGTACGAAATTAAAAATTACACGCTGCTACTACTGACACTTCTACCAATAAAGAAATATGAGTTTACCTTAATTAAGTGTAGGAAACATTAATGTCTAGATGGAAAAACTAAACATAAAAATAAAAAACCTTATGTTCAATTCTTGTCATGAGAACCACTCCCCTCAAAATAACAAGAACCACTCGAACCAAAATATTCTCTCCCCTTGGGAGCACTCGTGCCATCTCCACCCTGCGGTTGATGATCATGCACACCCACATAAGCTGTCGATGATGAAAACAATGTTGAAGAAGTTGAATCGAGAAATGGATCATTGTGATAATGATGAAGGCCCAAAGCAACCCGTTGTAGATCATTGTCATCACTACTCCTTAGCAGCTGCGCGTACTGCATTAGGTTCGGGAACCCTTCTTCTGATGATGATAGTAATGGAGACGGTGGAAGAGGTTGATAAACCTGTTGTGGTAGTAGTGATGCAGGAGATGCAAGAGCTGAAGAAACATTATTATTATTAGTAGTAGTAGGAGAAGCAACAGCCGTAGCAATAGTAGCATTAACAGTAGCAGTTGTAGCAGTGAGACATGGTGATGTTGAAGTGAGAAGAACGTGTTCTGGAAAATTGAGCTTGGCTTTTGATCCTTTGAACTTCAAGGCAGCAACATCATATGCAGCAGCTGCAGCCTCTGCCGTGTCAAATGTGCCAAGCCACACTCTAGCTGCTTTTTTAGGGTCACGAATTTCTGCAGCCCATTTGCCCCATGGTCTCTGCCTAACACCTCTATAGTGTCTCTTTCGAGCAATATTTCCTTGGAATAATAATCATTAATAATGCAAAGTTAGGCAGCCATTTTGGTCCAACTTGTCATTTATGAAAAAACATCAACTAGCTAACCTACCATTGGAAAATTAATGCACATTGAAAATATGTACTACCGAACAAGAAGTTGAAACTATCAACTATCAATGTCATAGGGTGCATAGCATAATACAAATCTAAGATGGAACAAATAACGATAATATTTGAAGCTAAATAATTAAGGGAGTGTCATTTCAACTGATCTGGTTCGGCATGTATATCATGGTAATTAGGCATATTTTACATGTGCAACAAGCCAACAACAAGCTTCAATTTTTTTTAACCAAAGTAAAAAACAGATGTATCAATTTACTTTTTCTTCTTTATTTTCAACTAGAGATTGAGCTAGCTAATTGCACCCGAGTTTGTAGTAAAAATAATTTCATAAATACTTTGAAAACGCGCATAAATAAGCAGATCTTTATTGTGGATCTCTATATTAGTGGAATAAATTATATATTTTCAATTATAAAAAAAAAGATTGATCCTGAATGATAATTATTGATATATAAATTAATGATGACATAATTGAAAAAAGTAAGTACATGAACCTGGTAAACTTACCTTGATTTAAAGGCTGCTGGGATGGGTCCTGCATCTCAATCAAACCAGAAGTGCTTACTTGCCCATATCGTAGTATTGGTGTAGAGGGGGTGCTATCATCATTAGTATTGATTGGATGAATAAAGAGGGGTGGTGAAGCTTCTTCTCCTTGGCTCTTAGATGGTGATTGATGAACAGAAAATTTGAAATTTTCCCTTTTCTCCCTTGATGCATGATTAGAAGGGAGAGGTCTCTTCCCATGCCTTCGATCCACCTTGTTCAACTCTTGGGAAAGATTCTTCTAGTCTTATATTACTATGAATACAATAAAGTAGTTTCTTCTTTCTTTCTTTCTCTGAATAAGCTTGTTGATGACCTTTTAGCTACATATATGCCTCCATATAAAGCAGATCTAAAAATTTTTTTAAAGAGAAGAGTGATTGAAGATGAACGAAACCAAGATCAAAAGAAGGGACAGTACTATTGTCATCACCTTTTAAAATTAGAGAGATTTGACAAAAATAAAATAAAAAAGAAATATTCACTAGGGAAGGAAAAGGAAAAGGAAAAGATAGCCTTGCTTGTTGCTTTATAATCGCGTTATATTTGTCCGTTGAAAATGAGAGAAAAAAAAAAGGTTCATAATTGTTGTAAATCTAAATTTACTTTTAGTAATAAAACTGTCTTAAATATTTAATGTTATGAAATAATTAACAGATGCAGTATTATTTAATTTTAAGTACCAAATTATGTTTATTAATTTCAGTCTTATAGGCACAATTTCTCTAACAAATAATAATCTAAACTCGTATTAATCAATTGAAAAAAATGAGAAGCCTCTTTCTCTATTTTAAGATAAGAACGATCGAGTTAATTTTATATATATATATATATATAGTTAACTTATTTAACTTTTTCAGATAAATTTTTAATTATATATATTACTAGGCTATAATTTTCTTTTCTAAATTCAAAACAAGAAAGTTTGAAAATTAACAAAAAAAAGTAATCAATTTCTTAAAATAATATTAGGCCAGCGCAGGGATGTACACATTTACAATTTGTGGTATAATTTAAATTTTTAAGAGATATTTTAAATAAACAATCATAATTTTTTAAAAAAAAATATGTCATTTTTAAGATTAGAGATTTTATTTCTAATTTTGAAGACATTTACAAATAGATCAAATTATATTTTATTACTGTTTTATTTTGTAACATAAAAATATTAGTAAATATTAAATTAATTAATACAATTTTATTCAAAGTTTATAAAAAATTAAATAAATCATAAATTAACTAATGAATCAAGTATAACATTCAAATTTTTTAATCAAGTCAATCTTAAATTCTAAATTTAGTCTATTTAATAAATGAGTCAAACTTAAGTATTATTAATTTTTCATAGGTTAAGCTTGAATTTCAATTCTTAACTTATTTGTTTAGCACGCTTACTCACACATAGTTGTCAGGAAATATCTATAATTATAAACTTGAAATTTTTAAACAATAGGTATACATCACTCACAGTTTACATTTTATTTTCTACATAATTTCATCTTTGGTTTAAATTTTTTTAAAATAAAAAACTTCTTAAATGTTTGGTTGACAGTCAAGAATCTACCATTCCTCTTAGCTCCTCTAGAAGGATAAAACAAAGCTCTTATTTGCTATATTTTCCCTCTACATGAGTTGATGAAAACTCATGGATTGTGCTACGAGATACCTTGTATAAAAAGTTTTATAATAAGTTTTTAAGGCATTATAAGCATCTATGCTGTGATAAAAGATGATTTTATAGGTTTCTTTTATTTTTATGTTTTTATATTTTATTTATTTTTTTATCTAAGGCTAGGTTACTACAACAAGAAATATAGCAATGTTATGATAAAAACGAACATACGAATTGCTTTAACTTTACTCTGGAGAGTTTGTCCACTAATAAAGCAAAGTGCTACATTGTTGAGCTCCTACATGTTTATAAAAAGATTAGACTTTCTTGCAAAAAAAATTTTAAACTTGTATATTTAAATATATACTGATTTCCAATTCAATTATAAAAATGTAATATTTGAAAAGTATATTTAAATATTTCAAGTTTTATAATATAGACTTTTGTTACTATCATAGTCTCTTAAAAGACTTAACTCACCAAGTTTAACGTGATAAACACATTATTATTATTATTATTATTGTTATTGTTATTATTATTATTATTATTATTATTTAAATTCAGTAGTAATTAAATTTCAATGTAAAGAGTCGCTAGTAGTAGCATTGAAGTAATTAGTAATTGTGGTTAAAAAAATGAACTTAATAAAAATGTGTATATTAAACTTGCTTGATAACAAGGGTTTAATAGTCAATGCCAATGGATTAAGAAATTGATACAATGAATTTATAGCATGTATGACTTGGAAAATATTAGAATCAATAGTACTTCGAAAGTAAGGTCTTTTGAATTGTATTTAAGACCCTTTCTTGAAATTAAAAAAAAAAATTGATTGAATGTTTTGTCCTCTTATTTAAAAGTGTATTGGTATAAATATTTTGTAGTCCTTTTCTTGTCTTCCTTAAATTTCTTTACTTTTATCATTTTAAGACATTAGTTTGACTTAAGATTTTTTTAAAATTTTTTTTTGAGAAAATTATTTTAAAAGAAAACTTAATTTAAAATTCTCACAAGATTGTGTAGTTAAATTAAGAGTTTTTAGAGTATAATTTTAAAGATTAAGTTTCATATTCTACAAATTTGAAATTATTTATCAAAGCTAATGCTAGGAGAATTCAACATTAATATTGTAATTTTTCTTTTTATTCTTTTATTTAGTTTTTTATTTTCCTCTAAAAAATCATCATGAAAAACTCTAAACAATCAACTAATTTATTAACTCCTCTGTTAAGCTTGGATCTAAATTAAACTACTTTTAAAAATCATAAAATTACTTTTATTAAAAAAAGTGAAAAACATAATTTAATTCTTTTTTGTTTTTGTTTTTTCACTTCCTTTCTCATAAATATTTTTATAATAATGATAGTAATAAAGCAATAATTAACTAAAGATTTTTTTATTATACATAAAAAAATACAATATACACATTGAAGTTTATTTTTTAAGATAAATATATATAATCTTTTTCATAAACAATGTCTTTAAAAAATTAACATCTATCATTCGTGCTGAGCTTATATATGAATTTATACTTTAAAATTTAATTCAGTATATTTTTTACTCCAAGACTTGATGACATATTATTGATCATTTTAATGTATAACAGGAATTTAATTAATAAAACATATAATATAGTCTTTTCACTAAATAAGTGGAAAATCATGATATTGTATGTTTTATCATTCCATGTACCATACGAGAAAGTAGTCGACCTAAATGTTGTAAAAGTAAAATAATATATTTTCGAATGTTAAGAATCGTAGTTGCTATTAAAAAATAACTTCTTTTTAATATTTATAGGTTCAGTGAAGGAAACAAATGTTGGACCAAGGCAAGAAGGACCATCTGATCAATACTTTCTTGTTTGCTGACGCATCACCTTACGTTCTAGCTCATACAATAATTTTTAATAAAAAATTATAAAATTTATATGAGATTATCATTATCACAGATATGTATTCAGTTGACCTTATGTCCCATCCATGCTGAGATTCTATAGTAAGTGTTAATAAGAAATGGTATTAAAAATTTGGATTTTTGACCAAATATTCAGCATCTTCGAGTTTCGCACACATTCAAAATTCATGAATACTTATTTTTTTATAAAAATTAATAATCAATTTTTTCTGTTTTTAAGATATATACTAAGATGCTAAAATAAAAACTTATTAAATAAAAATATTATTTTATATTAAATTAAATATATATATATATATATATAATACTTTCTTCTTTAAATAGATAAATAAAATAAATAAGAGTGTGTTCTATTTTATGTGACAATAAGACATAAATAAACTAAATCGAACAAATGTAAAATCTTTAGGATAAAAATTTTCAAAAACCTTGTGATAACTTAAATAATAGAACTTAATTTATATAAACTAATAATGTAAACATTTTGTACACATTTCCCAATTCTGGATTGCCATGACACAAATTCAACTAATCAACCTAAAGATTCTTTGTATGAAATATGAAGCACAATGATTAAAACAAGAATTTAAAATACAACAAACTTTATAAGGCCTAATTATGGAATAAAAAAAAGACAACTTTGAGCCATGAGAATAAAATTAAAAAAAACGTAAATAAAATTGTAATTTTACTTATTCAAACTCAAGTATATAAAGATTTAAAATAAAAAGACTATTCAAAGAATTAACTTGATCAAATAAAAAAATTTATTTTTAATTTTATTTTTAATAATTAAATTTTTTATTTGTAAATCTAATTAAGATTTGAGAATGATTTGTTAAGTTTTTATGTTAATTATAGGTATATTTAAATTTAAATATTAGGATAAAAATTATTTCAAATTACACTAGAATAAATATTTGAATTTTATTAATTATAAATATGTTTAAATTTTAATATCAAGACTATCTTAAATTACGTTAGAGTGAAAAAAATTTTAAAAATATTTTTATAAATAAGAGTTATGTAAACTAAAATGAACAAGTTAAATTTAAATATAATTAATTTAGTTTTTCTTTAGTTCTTAGATTAATAACTAAATTCTATTAAGTTGGTTATATCAACAATTTATGATGACTTTAGTTTTATTGGTAAGTCATAAATAAGGTCAAGTTCCCTTCTTCTTTTTTTATTCTTTATTAGTTTTCAAGACAATCGAATTTGATCCTATTTTTGTACTCGTACCATCCATATCAATAAAAATCTTTGATTTCTTTAATAATTAATATAAAAAATATAGTTACGATGTATTTTCATTGGTTGACCATATAAATTTTTTTACACCAATATACATTAAAGTTGAATTAAAAAATTATAACTTTTAAAACCTCACATAATTTATGTGTTTTAATATTTGATATTTATACTAAGATGTAATAATGTTTATTAGTATCTCTTTCATATAATAAATAAATAAGATCTTCACTTCTTTTAACTAATTTTAATAATTTTTTTATGCATTAATATTTAGAGAATTGATCACTTTGTATTGTTAGAATGGTTGATGTTCATTCTTTAATATTAATTGTTCAGTAGAAAAAGGACACCAAGATAATGACTACTAGCATGTTTAATAGATTTAATTTTACTAATTTTTAAAAAATGATTAAATCATTATTTTGTAAAAGTGTAATAGTTATGAGTTGATTACAAAATTTAAAGTTATTTACTTACCAGATAAATGAGTAAAAAAAATAATTTTTTTGTAAAGATAATAAATAAAATATTAGAATTTAGCAAATTCATTACAAAAAGAGACTGAATAATACTTTTTCCTTTTCAAAATTGTTGATTTAATGCATATATTAAGAAATCATTAATTGGTAGTAAAAATATTAATA